TGGGGCCCACCAGTCTGCTAGCAGCACGCTTCGGCTGGAGCAATCAGATTTTCCAAAAAACCTTCTTTTTATAGAGAATGTAGGCGATGAGCACCCACAGGGCAGTGGCGACGATGTTCTGAATGAGGTGCTCCTTGTGCGACTGGTTGTCCTGCAGCCTCCACTGGAAGGGGAAGTAGCTCTCGAACACCTCGTGGCCGACGTACACCAGGATAGAATTCATTCCTGAAAGAACACAGGCCACCGTGCTTTCCCGAGTCACCTCCGCTCATCTGCTTCCTTAATTCTTGAAACTGAATTTTGGTTCAGTGAAAAAGCACGCCCTGACATTACTGGCTACAGCCAAAACTAAGCAACGCATCTCTTAGATACTTACGTGTAAACTGTATCAAAAATTATTAGAGAAAATTCCTTTCATAACAGTGTAATTCTTGAATACTAAATCTGAAAGGAAAGCCAAACTTTTAACTTGCATTTTCTCAGAGAAAACCTGAAGTGCACAGAAGGCAAATATTACTAGGTCCAGAAGGTTGACATGAGTCGCTGCAGTTATCTGGTCTACCAGGCTCCAGGCAGAACTGCATTTAAACCACTCTGTTTATCTCCTGATGTCGCCTCATGGTATTTCTTATGTGCCATCTTACGTAAAGGCAGTGTGTTTACACGAAGAAGGCAAGCATGTCCCGTTTCTGAAGCATTAGAAACTGGATGCAGTGCCCGAATCGCTGCCAGAGGAAACACCAAATAGATCTAAGTAGGTAAATGGGTGGCCTGCTTCGGAACAGGCCAGGGACATCCTGCGTGGCCAGGACTGCGTGGCCCCTGCTGCTTTCCCCCTCAGCCTGTCTCGGAGACATGTCACCAGGGCCGTGGCTCGAGGCCCAGCACTGGGCTCGCTCAGCTGGTCTCTGTCATTAACTTTCTCTGGGGTCACAGGTGACTTACCCGGGTAAAAGAATGGGGTTCCCGTCCACAGTCCCTTCACATCCACAATAGGGTACAGAATGAGCAGGATGAAGAAGGCAAAGGAGCTCAGCGTGGTGACGTAGGAAATGGACCTAGGAGGGGCGGACAGGTGTGTCGGGCTCCTGAAAGCGCATCGACGTGAGCACGACCTATCATCAACCCTGAGGTGACACTTTTCTGTACCTACCAGAGATTCTTGTTTATGGGAATGAAGCCTTCATTTTCAGAAACTTTCGTCAAAGCAAGAGAGATAAGCCCCTGGAATGAGGGAGAAAGATGGTCAAGTTCCTTCCATTATCTCAAAAAACTACTATATTTCAACACTGAGAAATATTGCTTACTTAATTGCTTAGGAAGGACTGAAAATTGTGTCATATATTATTCTTGTAGCTGGGAAATATTTTTAAGATGCAGAGCTAAAAATATTCTCTAAAAATATCCTTTCAGCATTGCTCTGAGCTGAAGGTAAACTAAGTGATAAGTGAATGAATCCTGGGAGGAGCACCATGGCAAGGTCAGGGGTAAGTGAACAGTTGGCATTACAACTCCTCTGTCACCTGCAAATCTGGAAGCTGGCGCTTGGAAACCTGTTGTTATTGCCTGATCTTTCTGGTATGGCTCCCCAAGACCCGTACCTTGGTTCTATTTCTTCCTGCATTCCTGGCCGGCTGCCAACGGCCAGTGTGACCTAGTTATAAGACAGTTTCCTAACAAAATAAACATGAGAATTCAGGTGGAGAGATTTGTTCCTGTTTACTCAAGTGAAGAATGCTACCTGTTGTGACGTGGGGACGGCTGATACTCCAGTGTCACTAAACATTGTTTTCTTTTAAATATGCATGTGTAAAGAAAAGGAATTTCAGGGAGGAACATTGGTTACTCACTAGAAAACACCACCAGGCAGTGAATCTGATCAGGATGTCTTTGGTCTGATCTTTGTAATACAAGAGTATTTTTCCTGCCTGGAAAAGAAAACAGTATGATCAAGAGAATAGCCTAAGGTGTATTCTTATTTCATAGCCATCCATTATCTTAACCACTCCACTGACCCCTCTGCCAGGCACACTGCTAGACACTGGGATTACAAAGAGGAAAGGGGGGGTGTATGGATGGCGGGTGGAAGGGATCAATGGGGGAAAAAGAGGGACATCTGTAATACTTTCAACAATAAAAAAAAAAAGAGGAAGGGCACATTACCCCGCCCTTGACTGGTGGAGACTGAGAGGCACATGGGAGCACTTGTGGGGAGGAAGGCATTAGAGAGGAAGTGCCGTAGGGTTGAGGCCCTGAGTGCAGAGCAGGAAGAGCATTCAGGCAAGCTGGAACAGCATGCCCGGAACATGTCAAAATGGGTGAGAAAGCCCAGCGTCCCTCAGGTGCTACAGGTAATTCAGAAAGGCTGGAGGGTGGGGACAGCGGGAAGGTGACAGGCAGGTTGTCTTGTAGGTCTCACTGAGAGGCACTGGCTTTCTCCCACAGGTGATATGGAGTCAAAGAAAGTAACTTTTTCCCCCCAAAAAAGTACCAAGGGATTGGCTCATATTGGCCTGCCAGATGGCCCAGTCTGATAGTGGTATAGAAGACAGACAGGGACAAAAAAAAAAAAAAA